CGCAGCCCAGATCATCCTGGCGTACTCGAGGACTGTAGCTAGCGCTCAGTCAGATAAACTGGAGTCACATGAATCAAACAAGCTGCCGGTTGCGCAAAGACTTAGTTTAGACTCCACCATCACTTACATAAGAACGTAAAGATCTCTGCGTACAATGTCCTCAATTAGGCATTTTCACTCAGCAACTGCTGTAAGTAAAAATTCGAATCACCTCCTATCCATGAGATAATCAGCACTACGACTCCTTATATGTGTCGTATCGGTGGTCTCCTCCGTTTTATCACGTCGGCTCTGACGGTGGTAATCTACAACTGAACCGGATCGATGATGTACGTCATCCAGGTTGGTCTCCTCTACCTAAAAAGACACTCGTCATCAGAAGATGCGAACATGGATTGGGTTGGACAACATGAAAGGATGAGGGAAGGCAAAAAGCAGTGTGACTATGAGGTTGAGGTATGAGTTCAAGAGGTGAATGACAAGAACGGAGATTTCGCAGCAGTTCGCTTCCAATCCTACCTCTCTGGTAGCATACGCCAATTCGGGCTTGCCAGTATCGACGTCAGTTTCAAGATAATTCGTACTCCAACATCGGGACCTACTATAGAGATTGGGCTGGGACATCCTCATACGGTAAGCAGTGTATTTCCGTTCTGCTTCCTCCAGGAGACGCTCGAATTCCTAGCACAAAGCAAACGTGTTAGCTAGCAAAGAAGCGATGCAAGATTGCACATTTCGATCGTACACTCAGGGTAAGGTCAACAAAGGGTAATACTCCTAATTTGTGTCAAAAATCAAGCTCACTTGCGCGTACGGGCTCGGCTCCACTCTCGGGTACGGAAAACCGTCTATGTCGGTCTTCGACTTAAATTCGCTGTCGTGAAATTTTTGCAGTAATGGTCCACGATAATCTCGACGGACTCGGGAGGCCATGTCTTCCTGTGATCGGCGAAAACGCTCGGTAACCGAATCTGAGTCTAAACAAGACCCAGTTGTGATCATTTTTGATTTTCAATCAATAACAACTTTTCAGCCGTTGTACTTCTTGTGCAAACAAAGAGTGACTGATCTGCAGCTTTCGGTGGGCACATGCCAGGTAACTGTGAATTGCGCAAGCCTTGAAAGGAATAACGGTGCGCAAATAAGGAGCCGAGATCAAAACAAAAAGTGAACTATAAACGCAGTGAACA